AGCTCCCCCAGCGTGACACCCCTCTCCCTGCCACCTCCCGGGGGCTCTCAGCCCGGCGAGGTTACCTTGAGCAGCCCCGTGGGGGGCCGGGAGAGATGCCCCGCTCGGGAAAAGGTTTCGTCCCGGTGAGAGGACGGGTCGCCCTCCTCCTCCTCCTCCTCCTCCGAACTTAATTATTCCCCCCTCGGCTCCTTCGCAGTCCCCGCACCGCGCGGTGCGGAAAACAAAGCGGAGGGCAGCTGCATTATGCAAAGCTGGGACACGCCGGGCTCTCGCAGACGGGACAGGAGAGCAAGTCTCCGGTTCCAGCCTTGTCCGGATTTTCGAGATTACCTTTGGGTCCGGGGATGATTTTAGGGCTGAGTTCTCCTTCTCCCATTGGCTGGAGCTGCGGAATAATTATGATCACATCCTAATACTCTTGGCTGGTGCTTACTGTTTATTGGTAGTTAAGGATCTATTATCTATTCATCAGCCTCCCATTTTTGCCAATTACATTCTTCTAAAGTGAAGTACCAGCAGGTATTTTGCACATTTACAATTAATGATAAAAAAACCTGGCGTACTTTAAATCTATTACGCCGCTGTGTAATTTATCTTAAAGATGCGGAATTGCTAATGTAAATTAATGTTTCTGTTGAACCAAGGGATGAGGGGAGTTTTAAAACCAGTCTAGCGTTTCCTTCCTTCCTTACCGGACTTTGTTTTCTGTTTTCTTTCCACTTTATGCACAAAGAATCTGTTACTCCTCTGCATTAAAATATGCTAAAAAATAGCTGCCTAAATGGTCCTCGCTTTTTTGTTTGTTTGTTTTTTCTTTCCCTTTTTTTTCTTTCCCAGTAAAGGGTGAGCTGAACTCTCTCCGCCTTCCCAGCTCTCTCCCAAATGCACTTCTTTGCAGCTAGCCGAGATTTTTAACCCGATACCAAATCGACGGAGTAAATAGAAGTGAGGAAACGGTGCTGGGCACGCAACGGTGCTGGTGTTGGTTCCCCCTTTGTTTGGGGACGTGTTTTCCTTTGTGTCCCCCGCTCTATCTGCACTTTGTGGAGGGAGAAGTTCACTTTCCGTACGAAACGTGAATCTGTTCTCCAGGCGTTGGGCGCCTGTGCGTAGAGGGATCCACATCCACATCCACACGTGCAGCCGATTGCGGAGACAAAGTGAGAGAGATGTTTGTACAGAAGGCGCGTTGGCGTAACTCAAGCCCCCCTGACAGATTTTGCAGGGACGTGCTGTTGTCCCAGGTTTCCCACGTTTGGGAAAACCTCTTCTGCTCCCGGACACCCGGGCAGATACGGGCGCAGGGCTCCGGTCTCGCTGAGTTTGCTGCAGAAGGGAGGAAAGGATTTTCCTCCAGCCCCACTCGTGTCCCTTCGTGAATAGCTACTATTTTAAGTTGGTCAGTCCCCTCGCCCCCTTTCCCGAGCAACCTTTTATCCCTCAGCCAGCGGGAAGGCTCTTCTCGCAGAGATCTGGGGTTAGTGACATGAGCAAGGCTGAGAAACTGCCCTAAATGCGACAGGTACTCGGTGTGCTGAATTCCACTGAAATGAGCACTGAAAAGAGGGGGGGGGGGGGAGGAAAAAAAAAAAAAAAAAAAAAAGGAAAAAAAAAAAAAAAA